GAGCCTGGCTGGGGAGGGTGGGGCCAGGGCCAGGCGAAATATTTTGTGAATTATAAAAATGAGACACCTACACGGAAAGCAAGCAAATGTTTTTTCAGCAAAAAATCTGCTTATGCCTGATGTTTGATTCTTAAATGAGTTTGAGAAGCAATTCTGCCATTGATACCATGGTCTTTTACACCTTTTCCTTCTCTGAATCTGTGAGGATGTTTTTCACATTATGGAATTCAAGTAGTTTAATGGAATCAGCATTCTGAGAGCTCATCATACTTTGGCAGAAGTTTTAGTGGATGTCATTAGCTAAAGTACTATAATGACTTCCCCTTGGAACAAGTAATTCCAGTTGTCTGCCAGGCTATTAGTGAGGGTATAAATGAGAAATAAGACCAATAACCTCATGTTTTCAAATCAAGTAAAACTCCTGATCTGTTGTGAGTGACCAAGGTCTATGGCTTTTACTATAACTCACTGAAACACTGTCTGTACTAAAATAATTTTGATAGTTAACTCTGCTCCAAGTATAGCAGTGTGACTGAGGAGAACCAGAGGAACATACTAAGAAGGTCATATATTAGCACCGAATTATGGCAATCAAACGATACTAGGAATGGCATTCCATGATTTCATTACACTTTGTAATGGAAAAGAAAATGGACTTACAGCATTCATAAGTGAAAATGAATGCAGCCCTCAGAAATTAAAAAAAAAAAAATTTACAAAGCAATTATCAAAAGAGTTTTTGCAGATTTTTCACAAAAGATTACTGAAGTAGTTGAGAAAAGAATCTTGTCTCAGAGGCCAGTGAGGGCCCAATGCTGTTCTCTCTTCTATCTCCGGCTTCTGTGTTTGGTAGGTTCTAAAGTCTTCATTTTTCAAAGAAATGGCCCAACTGAAAATAAGTATTGCTGGATAAGGAAATATGTAGTTTAACAGTAATAAAACCTACAGTGGTAGGAAAAGTCAACTAGGAAAAGAAGTGGGCAATAGCATTCCAACATGACAATTTCCTTACAAACTACTACAATACCAACAGATTAAAGGAGCTCTAGCAGTTTGAATCCACCAGCTGCTCTGCAGGAAAAGACCCACTATAGGGTCAGCTATGGGTCAGTTCTGACTTGACGGTACAAAACAGCAACAACCACCTTTAATAAGCACTTACCATGGGCCAAGTATGCTTCTAAGCTTATTATGTGGAATAATTAGTTAAACTTGACAACTCTGGAGATAAAAAGACTACAGCAAAGAGAGATTATTCAAGTTCACACAGATAGTAAGTAGCAGAGCCATGTTCTTAACCCTTTATTACCACAACACACTGCTTTTCTGTTTTCTAATGACATTAAGGGTGAATTCTGATAAGGTTGTCCATTTAAAGTAAGCCTCTGACAGTTCTACTCAACAAAACTTCAAATAATTAAAAAAAAACAATGATTAAGAATACTACAACTATGAAATGAACATCACTGTGACAGAATGCAGGCTGGTTTACATAGGACCTCGAAAAACCAGTTTGAGCTTATCTTTAACAAGCCTCTGATCTCAGGATTACCACATACCTTGCTCAGTGGCTTCCTTTGCTGCATCTGCTAAGGGGGTTTAGGTATCTACCCTACTTATCTCATTGGGAAATTGTTGAGTGAGGTCAAGTGTAACGAACACAGAGACATGCGTTAGGGATGCTTTGTTGCGTTGGCTATTCTTGAGACCATCAAGAACACTAAGTATCTGAAGGCAAAGAGTAATTGTCTGGGAAAAGTAAGCCTTGTTCACCTGCCTTGAACTCCTTTAATCAGACTAATGTATTTTAACATGGAAAGAAACTACATTGTGAGAACTGGAATACTGAGTGGGAAGGCTATCACAATATTACTGTATTTGTTCATTAGTGAATTATTCAATATAGCTTTTCTAGTCATTTAACTCCTACCACATGGCTGAGCTGTTACTGGGTGCTGGCAAGACAAGTACGACTCATAGCAACCTTATGAGTTGACCTGAACCCTGTCCTAACCTGTGCCATCCTCATCATCTCTAAGACACTCGAGCCCATTGTGGCAGTCATGCTGCCAACCCACTTTGTTGGGCTTCTTTCTTTTTCCAGGGATAGCCTCTCATAGCAACATATCTAAAGTATGAGAGATGAAGCATCCAAGGAGCACTTTGACTGATGTCCAGTGCTCCATGAGACAGCCTTTGCTGCCTACCTTACTTCAGAGGAGGACACTGACACAGAAAGAACATGTAATCTACCAGCATGTCAATCAGGCAACCTCAAGTTTATTTCTCATCAATTTCTTCTTAATATTCTGCACACTTTAAAGCCAAGAACAAGTCTAAAAATGTAACTGGTGTACATGGTGTGACTGGTGGGGAATGCTGCATCTATTTACAGTTTAAATTGAGTCCACAGAAATACTGGCCTCCTGGAGGCTACTCCACTGTGAATTCTGATCCAATGTCCCTAGATAGAAGGAGGGAACTACTCTTAGGTAGAATTTATTGTTTGGGAAAAATACCCACTTTTCTATTTATTTTTTTAGACTGCACAAAAATCTTTAGCGCCTAACACCATGGAAAGGTTGATAGAAGGAGAATTGATGCCTTTGAGCTATGGTGCTGGAGAAGAGTATTGAGAATACCATGGACTGCTAGGAAAACAGATTTGTCCTGGAAAGGGTTAAACCAGGTGGCTCCTTGGAGGCAAGGATTCTGAGGCTCCGTCTAACATACTTTGAATATGCTGTGAGGAGAGACCGGTCCTTGGAGAGGGACATCATGCTTGGGAGCGTGGAGGGACAGCGCAGGAGAGGAAGGCCCTCTATGAGGTGGATTGATTCAGTGACTGGGATAATTGGGATGGGACTGTCAGAAACAGTGCGATTGGCACAGGACAGAGCAGAGTTTAGGGCTGTTGTACATAGGGTCGCTATGAGTCGCAGGCGACTCGACAGCACGTAACAACAACAAACAATACAAATATGTCCAAAGCAAACTGACATCTGAAATATGTTTTAAAACAGGGACTCTATATAAATGAACATATTAGAGAAGACAGGAGGGAAAAAGCAAAGCTGGTCACATTAAGTATTTGTTGAATGCTGTTTAGAATGATACGATATAAAAATTACACATACTGAGGACAAACTGTAGAGAACAGCAAATGGGAAATGACTGAGAAAACCTACCTCAATGCCTACTGTGTGATGAAGAATGCTGACTAACAAAACATGCTCCATCATAAGCCTGCTGGGCATGACTGTGGCAGTCACACAGGCACTCATAAGCATGCCCGTTAATGTGTCGTTCATGTCCTTCCTGCTGTTAGCCATATACAGTTCTTCCAGCTGTCCACTTATAGAGGCCATGTTGGGTTCACTCAACCTGCACAGAATTGCACATACCAAGAACAAAGGTGTTTCAAATGTAAAAAAATATTTCAGTTCAATTAAAAAATAATAATAATAAAAAATCTCTTATTTTATGCACACTTTAAAGCCATGAACAAGTTTAAAGATACAACTGGTGTACATGGTGTGACTGTTGAGGAATGTTGCATCTATCTATGGTTGATATTGAGTCCACAGAAATACTGGCCTCCTGGAGGCTACTCCACTGAGAATTCTGATCTGATGTCCCTAGATAAAAGGAGGGAACCATTCTTAGGTAGTATTTATTGTTAGGGGAAAATCCCCACTTTTCCATTTATTTTTTTAGATTGCACAAAAATCTTTAGCATCTAACACTATGGAAAGGTTGCTTCATTGAACTGGGTAGGAGGGAGGAGGAACAGATATGTATGTAGTTAAAATTCCCCACTGCTCCATGCATACAATATGGGGGTGGGATGTAGGCCTGGCTATGAAGGCAGAGCCTTCTGGTAGTGATAACACCAATCTACACATGTAACACTGCAGAGAAAAACACACACAGCTGAGTATAGAACGAACACCAGTAAAACCTGAGGAAATTGACACAAACTCTGGGTTGTACCTATGTATTTAATGGGCTGTTTAAGTTTTGAATTAAAAGTAAAATAAAAAATATATGCTAGGGAGCTCTTATGGTTTGGTGATAAGGAGTTGTGCCAACAAACTGAAGGAATTCAGTTCAAATCCACCAGCTGCTGTGGAGAAAGTTGTGTGATTTCCTTCTGTGTGAGATACTAACTCTGAAAATCCTCTGGAGGGTCAGCTAAGAATTGATTCTGAGTTGACAGTAACTTAACAAGTTCAGGGAGAGACTGGGTGAGGAGTACACAGGGTCTCCCTGTATATTTTTTTGCAACTCTCTGTTAAGTCTATAATTATTTCCAAATAAAAAGTTAAATAAATAACACAAAAAAGCAATACATATTAAAAATCTGACAAACTAAGATATGATGTTAACGGCCAGCAAAGTGGTTACCGAAGTGATTGGAAGAGGGCACAGGAGTGATTTCTAGGGTGAAAGTAACGCAGAGGAACTGAAGGAATACTCAGCAGATGACAGATCTTTAACTTAGTTTTTTTTCTTGTTGTGTACCACTGAATAAGATCTGACTGGCACAGGAGATTGCCACTTCTGCTCCAGTGGAGCATATGGCAGATTTAAACCATGCACCTTTGGGGTTACAGGGAAGCTTCTTGCCACTAGATCACCAGAGCTCCCTTAACTCAGTTTTCAAAAACAGTGGGCTGACGGAGGTGGGTTAATCAACAAAAGCTCTGTCTATGTAGTGTCCAATCAACCTTATGTTTTAATTTTAAATTAAGAGTACCAGAAGAATGTCTGTTTCATTGACTATACAAAGGCATCTGACTGTGTGGATCACAATAAATAGTGGCTAACCTTGAGGAAAATGGGAATCTCACAGCACTTGATTGTGCTTATACAAAACCTATATTTGGAACAAGAAGCAGTCCTCAGAACAGAGCAAGGAAACACTGTATGGTTGGAAATCAGGAAAGGAATGCATCCTGTCCCCGTATTTTTCAATCTGTACACAGAACAGATCATTCAGGAAGCAAGGCTTTATGAGAAGGAGTGTGGTATCAAGATTGGAGGGAGGCTCATTAACAACCTACGATATGCAGATGACATAACCTTTCTTGCTGAAACTGAGGAAGAGCTGAAGCACTTGCTGCAAAAGGTCAGGGACTGTAGTCTTCAGTATGGATTGAAGCTCAACATCAGGAAGACAGTTTCTCACTACTAGGTCAATTGGCAGCACCATATTAGATGGAGAAGAGACTGAGGTTGTTCCCAACTATAGCTAGCTTGGCTCCACAATCAACACTCTTAACACCAGCAGTCAGGAAACCAAAAGATGAATTGCACTGGGACAATCTGCTGTCATGGACCTCTCCAGTGCTGAAGAGCAGCTAGATACAAAGGTGCGCCTAATGCAGGCCATGGTCTTCTCAATTACGTGTTATGCTTCAGAGAGTTGGACAATGACTAGGGATGACAGAAGAATAATAGATGCCTTCGAGTTGTGGTGCTTGAGAAAAGTCTTGAACATACATATACCATGGACTGCCAAGAAAATAAATAGTCTGTCTTGGAGACGGTGAAACCAAGTCATTCCTTGGAGGCTAGGATTTTGAAGCTCCGCCTCACTTACTTTGGGCACCTGGCCAGCAGATATCTGTCCTTGGAGAAGGACATCATGCTTGGAAGGATGGGAGACTCCAGGAGAGGGAGACCCCAGATGAGATGGACTGACATAGTATGTGTTGGACTTAGTGAGACTGGCTCAGGACAGGGAAGGGTTCAGAGCTGCTGTGTATATATACACTGCAGGTGACTCAATGGCACATAAAAACAATAACAAACTATGACAGGTTTGGAAGCAGGAGTGGCATCTACTTCCTAAATAACATGCCTCCGGAAACTATGAACTTTGAGAAATGTCGATAGTTGTAGAGGGATTTCAGGCCTTTTGTTCATAGGGTCGCTATGAGTCGTGTTCGACTTTAAGGTAATCAACAACAACCATCTCCAAAAGTGCAGGCCATGGAGGGGAAAGGCCAAGTGTGAGTAATGAGCAGAGTGTGTGCGTATGATTCAACCATTTTCTTAGAAGGGAGTGACAGTGGGGCAGGTAACTGTGCATCTGCATTAAAGGAGCCTGTCTGGTTCTTCTCTCCCTGTTTTCTAGACAAAGAATTTCTCACCTCCAATTCCTTTGTCACTCACATGCTTCTTTGAAAAAAACTGCAAGCATGTAAACTGCTTTCAAATTCTGAAGAAAGTCAAAATTAGATACTGTCACTAAGCATTCCATCTTGCTGATTAAGAATAATAGAAAGGACCCAACCAAAACTGCAATTCTCACCTCATCACTTATATTTTAATATAAATAGTTTATATATGTTTAGAAAAGAAAAAACATCTTTAAATGACCTAACTCTGCAGGCTTACCTGTTAATCAGGCCCTTTACTTGCTTCTTTAACCTTTCGAGTTTCTCCTTTTTCTGGGGATCCACCATTTCCTCAGCTCGCCTCACATGAGGTGGCATGTTCTTCTCATCAGTTTCACAAAGACTCTGCTTGAAAGAAGAAAAACATATTACAGAAAAATCAACATAAAATAAATTGCATTTTTTCCTTTCAAAATCCATTTAGGTATTACATTTTCAAGGACTAGTAGAATTTATTTACTTAGCAATAACTATTGCTATTTATTAAGCATTTTCTATCTACTAAGTACTTAGTATACTCCTGGATAAGCTTTTTAGTTATTATTTATATTATTGTCAATATACTTAACTATCTATTTAATAGTCTTAAAAAGTCTACACTGCCTTTTGCCAGGCTTAATATACTGTAGATGCGACTTAAATGAAATATACCATGAGTTTTGGAGGGAAAGTATCCTAACAGAATTTCAAATTTGCACAAAACTAGTATCATAGTGACTGGGGTATTGTGGGCAGGTGTGTTGAAAACAGTAAGACTGGCTCAGGATAGGGCAGGCTTCAGATTTACTGTACACAGGGTAACTATGAATTGCAGTGACTTGATGGCACGTAACGACGACAGTATCAGTATATAAATTAGGGAATCTGGCAGCCTAGGAGTTGTGCTGCCAACCCAAAGACATTAGCTGCTTTTGCCATTAGGTGCTCCATGGCAGAAAGATGGGCAATCTCTTCCCATGAGATTTATAGCTTCAGAAAACTTGCTGGTTCCAATCAGACAGCACATAACAACAGTTCTAAATTTATATAAAATCAAAATCAATCTGCTGCCCAATTATTCTCCTAAATGATTATCAATGGAGAGAATTACAAATTATTATCATTAACCAACATCCCAATGGCACCTAAAAGGCAGGCTTTAAGGAACAAACATTATAAGGCATAATTCTTGCTGTCAGGGGCTTTAAACTTGGTTAGAGAAAGGGCATTTATGTCAACAGAAACGGAAAAAAGTGGTACTGTTAGTGCATATAGTACTTGAGATGGTATGTCCACTGTAACACAATAAGGCTGTCAAGAAGAACTTTAAGAACAGTAGACAAAACAAACAACAAACAAAAGTAACAAGTGAAAAAAACAGGCAAAAGCTTTAGGTCCCCACAACAGGACAAGAGTTAAGGCAGCTAGAATAGAGATGAAAAGGTAGTTAAACCTAACTTGGGAGGGACTGGAGAGCATTATGCTAAGTAAACTTAAGTTCCCCCTAAGGACAGGTACTGTAAAAAACCATTATAGTAGAAATACAAAGAGAACTTAGTAAAACATGTAAGAGGATCCAACGGGGTTGGATGGAGCAGAGGAGTGAGGATGCACAGGGGGGGCTAATCATAGGGTTGCACAATTTGATGGGTAGAGGGGTGGGTAAAGGAAATGGGAAAGAGCCAGTGTGAAAAAACAATGTATACAAACTCTGTCCTGTCATGACGGCCTTGGTTGCTATGGGATTTAAACTTCCTCTTAAATGGGAGAAACCTGATCCAGGAGAGCGTTACACATTAGCTCTGCTTTACAAGGTGTCATTCCAGTAGCAGTTGGTTGGGAAAAGAGCCAGAGGGGAGGCAGATGGCAATGTGTGTGTGGGGGTAGGGTGTTGTTGTCCTAGAGAAATAGGAAAGACGCTAAACAAGGCAGTGGAATCAGGAATGGGTGTGCGTGGATAGGAGGCGTGGGGGCAGAGTCAGAGGTCAGAATGTCAATGACAATTTAAGCCGCTGACAGAAAATGGCCTCTAAAGAGGGGTTTCCGCTCTTTATCATGGAACTCTAAAACCAAGAAGAAAACAAGAACACAAACCCGACTGACCCAACACTCGGCTCAATTAGGAGTCTGCATGGCGGCCACCCGGGCGATCAGTTGAAAATCTGGGGGGGTCCCCCTCAGACATGAGGTCCAACAATCTTCCTCCCCTGCAGCCCCCCGCCCCGCCCCCCGCGGTATCCTGCCGTCTACACTATACCTGCTCGGCCGTGTCACTGTCACTGTCCTCGGAAGAACTCGCACTCTCTTCGCAGTCTGCAAAACGGACTCTCTTGGCACCTCTCTTCTGCGGCATACCCCGGCCTGTCGCTGCTGCGGCTCCCTCTTCTATAGTCTCTCCCTCGCTTTGCGCTCCTTCTGCCTCGCCTCCCTCACCATCCTCCTCCTCCTCCTCCTCGCTGTCACTCTCGAGGTCACTCTCGGAGATCGTCTGGTCGGCATCCTCCTCCTCCTCCTCACTGCTGCTTTCATATAAGCCACTACTTCCCCCAGATTCTAGGGCTCCCAGGATATAGTCCAGCCCGTCTCGTGCGAAGCTAAGCGGCACGGGGTTGCTGTCACCCTTCTTCCTGCGCTTGTTGAGGCCGAGGCAGCGCTCCAGCTTCCGGATCTCGCGGTCCTCCTCCTCGTTGGCCGCCAGCAGGGCCCGTTTTCGAGCCTCGGCAGTAGCAGCCGGTTTGCTTTTCCCTTTCGGGGAACCCTTGGCCTTAGCTTTGGGGAGCTGCTGTTTGTTGGGAGGAGGTGGGTCATGGCTAAGGGAGGGGTGATGGCTTTCCTCTTTCTCTGCCGACGGAGGGAGAACCGTTTCTTGGTCCTCCTTGAGTCTTCCTGGAACGGGACCCTGTGCAGGATCGGCGGACCACTGAGACCGGCGAGCTTTCCTCAGGTGTCGCTTCTCCCGCTTCAATTCCTTGCGGCTTTTTTTCCCGCCAGGACGGCAGCTTGGTGGTGCGCTGCGACCCTGGGCTCGGAACCCGGGAAGCGGCCCCTGGAAGCCTCCGGGAGCCTCGCCCTCACCGGTGGCTTGTACAAACTCCTCCACTGCCAACCTCAGCCGCTTCATGGCTCCTTTCCTGCCATCGCCATGACCGCGATGCGGCCAGCGCCCACCTTTGCGCTTCATGGGACTCAAACGCACCCTACGACTACCTGAACAGGACTGTATCACGTACACGTGGGCGCAGCCATCTTGCAACCGGATATGCCGGCCTCAGCCTTCCGGCCTGGGCGGGGCTTCCGAGCAGGAAAGGGCGCAGTGGAGTGAGGTGCGGGATGTGAGAAGCACTGCGCCACCTGCTGGCGGGAGGGCAGCAGAGCCCAGAGCTTTTGAGACCGCGCGTCAGCAGCGTCTGACAACTGAAGGAGAGTGCCTTTGTTGTTGTTAGGTGCCGTTGAATCAAGTAGGACTCATGGCGACCCTGTGAACAACAAAGCTGAACCCAATCATGTTGTTGTTAAATGCCATTAAATCGAGTACAACTCATACCGACCCTGTCTTATCCTGGGCTTTCCTTATGATCCATCTCTGTCACATTTGAGTCCATTGCTGCAGACACTGTATCAACCCTTTGCGATGAGGATTGTCCTCTCCTTCGCTGACCCTCCACCTTTCCAAGCTTGATATCCCTCTCCAAGTAATAGCCTCGTCTAACAACATTTGTGAAATTACGTGAGGCAAAGCATCACCGCCTTTGTCTGCAAGGAACACTTTGGTTGTACTTTTTCTAAGACATACCTATTTGTTCTATTGGCAGTCTATGGGATATTGAGCAAGTTCTTCAACACCACATCCTAAATGCATCAATTGTTCTGTAATCCTTATTTATTGCCCAGCTATCAAATGCACAGCAGGTGATTGCAAAGACTTGGCTTGAGTTAGGTGCACTTTAATCTGACACCACTTCTCTTCAGGACTTTGGAGAGGTCAATGACAGCTGACTTTCTCAAAGTCAAGCTTCTGTGGACTTCCTGAGTGCTGGTCCAAGGGTGTTGACTATGGATCCAAGCAACTAGAATGCTATAATGTTGTTGTGTGCCATGAAGTCAGAACTGACCCATTGCTGACCCTTCAGCGGATTTTCAGAGGCAGTTAGTCTCATGGGAGGAGATTGCCTATCCTTCTTCCACAGAGCAGTTGGTTGATTCTGTGTGCCATTGGGGTTGCAGTGTAGCTTCTTACCACTAAGCTACCAAAGCTCCCATTAATAAAAAATTTGCTGCTGTTTTGTGCCATTGAGTAGGAACCGAGCCACAGCTGACCTTCCAATGGATTTTTAGAGGTAGTTAGTTAATTGCAAGGGAGGAGAGTGCCCAACCTTCTCCCATAAAGCAGCTGGTGGATTTGAACTGCATGCCTTTGGCATTGCAGCACAGATTCTTACCACTAGACCACCAGTGTGTCTGTGTATAAATATGCAGGTATTTTATGTACATTGCCAGGAAATAAAAAGATGAATTGCATTGGGAAAGTCTGCTATTAGAGACCTATCCAGAGGGCTGAAGAGCAACATTGTCGGTCTGGAGACTAGGGTGTGCCTGATCCAGGCTATAGTCTTTGCAATTACTTGCTATGCATCAGAGAGCTGGAAAATGACTAGGGATGATAGAAGGAGAATTGATGCCTTTGAGCTGTAGTGCTGGAGAAGAGTATTGCTAGGAGAACAAACAGATTTTGCCTGGAGAGGGTGAAACCAAGCTGCTCCTTGGAGGTACAGGTTCTGAAGCTTCATCTGACATGCTTTGGACATGTTCCAAGGAAGAACCAGTCTTTGGAGAGGAATGTCATACTTGGGAGGGTGGAGGGACAGTGCAAGAGAGGATGGCTGTTATACATTTTTGTTGTTGTTATGTGCTGTCAAGTCACTTGTGACTCATAGTGACCCTATGTACAAGAGCCTTAAACCCTGCTCTATCCTGTGTCAGTCTTATTGTCTCTGAAACACCTATTACCCCAGTTACTGAATCAATCCATCCCATCGAGGGTCTTCCTCTCTTGCGCTGTCCCTCTACCCTCCCAAACATGATGTCCCCTCTATAAGGACTGGTCCCTCTTTGTAACATGTCCAAACTACGTCAGACGAAGCTTCAGAATCCTTGCCTCCAAGGAGCATTCTGGCTTCAGCCGCTCCAGGACAAACCTGTTTATTCTCCTATCAGTCCATGGTATATTCATTAATCTTCGCCAGCACCACAGCTCAAAGGCATCAATTCTCTTTCTATCATCTCTATTCACTGTCCAGCTCTCCAATGCATAGCATGTGATTGCAAAGACTATGGACTGGATCAGGTGCACTTTAGTCTCCAGACTAACGTGATTGCTCTTCACTACTCCGGAGAGGTCCCTGACAAGCTGACTTTCCCAATGCAATTCGTCTCTTGATTTCGTGGCTGCTGGTACCAAGAGTGTTGATTGTGGAGCTAAGTAAACTTAAGCTGTTAACTATCTCAAACTCTTCACCATCCATACTGATGCTGCCATTTGGCCCCGTGGTGAGAATCTCTGTTTTCTTGATGTTGAGCTTCAGTCCATATTGAAGGCTGCAGCCCTTGACCTTCTGCAGCAAGTGCTTCAGGTCCTCCTCAGTTTCAGCAAGCAGGGTTGTGTCATTTGCATAATGCAGGTCATTGATGAGTCTTCCTCCAATCTTGATGCCATATTTCCCCTCATACAGCCCAGCATCCTAGATGATCTCTTCTGCATGTAGATTGAAAAGGTATGGAGACAGGATACAACCCTGGCAGACACCCTTCCCAATTTTGAACCATGCAGTGTCTCCTTTCTCTGTTATGATGACTGCCTCTTGGTTCAAGTATAGGTTTTGCATAAGCAGAATCAAATGTTCTGGAATTCCCATTCTTGTCAGAGTCAGCCATAGTTTGTTTTACGTAGAGTTGCTAGTAATTGCAGGCAACTCAACAGCACATAATACAACAACAATGTGTTGTTTTGTTGTGTAACATTGAGTTGAAACCAACACATAGCTGACCTTCCAGCGGGTTTTCAGAGGTGGTTAATCGTACAGGAGGAGATTGCCCTCCTTCTGCAGAGTAGCTGGTGGGATTTGAACTGCGTGTGCCTTTGAGATTGCAGCCCAGCTTCTTGCTATTAGGCCATCACAGCTTCCTCTGTATTGCAAATATAATGTGTGTGTGTGTGTGTGTGTGTGTGTGTGTGTGTGTGTGTGTGT